CACTTCTGTGAGAAGGGAGGAGGTGAGAGAGGCACCCCTGCTGCGTGCGGGGAGCTCACATGGTCCATCGTTGTTGCTGGAAAATGGCGGGGCGGTTTGGTGGAGATTAGAAATATGTGGTCAGATATGGCTGGAAGGCTGTTTCAAGTGAGGTTAGAGATTTTGAGTGGTTGGTCTTTGGAGATTCAAATACCTGTCTTTATAGTGCTTAAACTTAAAGCCAGCCCTAGTAACTAAGATGGGAAACATTTTAAATGCAGATTTTTGATCTGCATTAAATAGCAAACCGCTAATTTCTAAACGTCTGGATATGTTTTTAGAGTTCATTTCTACTTTGGCACCTGCTGAAAACTGATTTCATGCTTGCTCTTCTGATGTGCAAGCCATGAAAAATTTGTGGTCTCTTAAGGTCCTTGTAGTTCTGGAATGACTGCATTATAATCACTTTAAATTTCCTTGTAATAGCTTTCAGAAGAGTTATTGTGTGACTTTTTTTTTCCATTGGGCTCATTGTTGCATTTATTAAATGTAGAGAAGCTGCTTTTCCTCCCTCATTAACAGTTAGAATTGCAGATATTATTCTTCGTAGGTAATATTATTCTTATTCTTCATAGCCCATTGATATTATTCTTCATAGACCATCAATATGGGGTACCTGAAAACATCGCATCCTTTACTTCCCTGAGGTTATGATCCCAGGCAAATCTCATTCACCTTTGAAGTGTGGAAATAAGTTTAACTCCTCCTCTCCTGCATCCTTTGTAGAGTTCAGCTGCTCTGAGGTGAAGCCATGTTATTTTTCCCTCAGGGAAACTACTTATGCTCAAGAGATGGTGCTGCTGAAGTGAGCAGATATAAGGTGTTGCTTGAAATGAATGTGACTGCTCCCATTGAAGCTATTCAGGGCTGGCTGTATTTTTGGGTTTTAAGATTTTGGTCCACAGAATTAGAGACTAAACCTGTAATGGTGAAAAATGGTGGGTATAAGCAAATTCAAGCAACAGCCTTTTCTGTATCTGCCTGGTTTGGGGGTATGCTACGTAAGTGTTTGGGACAGCAAATGTTTCTAGGACCAAATTAAAAGAGGTGTCCTACATTCCTATATTCCTAGAAGTAGACGTGGCAGGATTTCTCCTGCTTAATTGTTATTAAAGACCAATTACTGAAATAACTGTACTGTATTGTTGCTAACCTTTACCACCATTGATTAAATCCTGATCAGTTGCAGCTTCAATCCACCTCCACCAAGCACCTGTCAGCTCTTGTTCCCAAATTCACTGGTTATTGTGCTCTTGCAATTTAAGTTTCAAAAGTGATCAGAAATTGCAAGCATGTAGCTTGAGGAAGAGTCAAGGCTCCAGCCCAAGCCAGGTGATCAGAAATTGCAAGCATGTAGCTTAAGGAAAAGAGTCAAGGCTCCAGCGCAAGCCAGAAAGGCAGTAAAAGGCAGAAAGCAAACAGATAATTAATTTCAAATTGAATTGTGTCAAGCCTAGGTATAGATTTTATTAATTCTGTTCTTCTGGGCATTCTCATTAATTTTTCCTGCCCAGTTTCTTTTTCTATTTTTCTTTTCTTTTCTTTTCTTTTCTTTTCTTTTTCTTTTTCTTTTTTTTTAACTTTTCTGTTCTGTTTTTTTTTGTATTTTTATTTTCTTCTGTGTTTTCTCTCCAACAGAAACTGAAGACCTGGAGATGTTCTCATGCGCTGCATGATCCCTTCCCTTTCCCAAAGAGCTCTACCTATTCACAGGGCTTTCTAGTAGCTTCGATAGAAGAGCTGCATTAGTGCAGGAATATCAGACCTTTCACATTGAGATAACCGATTTGAATCTAAAGGTCACGATTGCAAGGTGGCTGCCAAATCTTGCTGAAATGTTCTGCCTGGTGTATTTTCATGGTGACTTAAGTGTCTGCTTCACAAGAAAGAATCCTTTAAAAGCATCATTAAGCATCAGAATTATTGGCAGTGGTACCATTAAATTAAATTCAGCTAAAAATTGAGCAAATAATGGATATCATTCTCTTTCTTGCTGTCATCTTTTCCTCCATTTTGTGATAAATGTGTAATCAAAGTGAGGAAGTTGATGTTTTTTAGTATCACTCATATGAGGGAATCTTGGGAAGAAAGATTTAAGCTTCTGTTCCATTCCAGTGTCTTTTTATTGTCATTCTGTGCACATGAAAAAGAACACTTTAATGAAGACACAAAAGATTTTTTTTCTCATACTGAGATTAGCAGTTACTACAGAAATGAATTCTTTCTACCAAATAAGTGATGAAATCTTGCCATCTTCTTGCCTTCTTGTCTGGTTGAAAAAAGTGCAAGAATGCATTGCACAGGTTAGGCACTAACATTTCTCAGCAACTCCCACAAATATATGGGATTCATATGTTGTACAGGCTTGCTAATATCACTGCATGCCCGAGTCAGAAACTACAAAGTATCAAAGGTCATTTCTGAAATCCTGTGACTGCCTCAAGATTCCTGCTTCCGAAAGGCTTGAACATACTCTGTCATAGTAGGATATATTCATATAGGTAGGGATCAGAAAACACATGTTCAAAAACACTGAAACCCTAAAGCAACTTGTGCTGTGCTAGAATTCAGTCCATGATACTGAAAATAACTGTAAAAATATAGCACAGAGAGGGCTGAGGGGAAAAAAGGAGATTGGAAAAGAATGCAGCTGTGCATGTGGAGTACAGAATAATCTAGCACGGGTTTTCTCTGGTCACTTTTTTTTTTCTTTCCTAGACACCTGCACCAACAGGATGTCAAGTTTCTTTAGGGAAAAATGGCTTAATTCACTCTGAAAATACCTCGATGCCTGAACATGACAGCCTGTTTAGAGAATCTTCTCTAATAGTTCTTGGCATGTTTTGTTCTCCAGACAAATCCGAAAAAAAAAAATTCTTTGTATGGTTTTAACCTAGACAGATTTCATTCTTCTTAATTTAGACAAGAACTTTATGAACAAAATAACCTCAGTTGCTGTTATTATTATAAGTAAGTTAGTATGTTCTGTAACCTTGAGTTACAAGAGTGAAGGAAATAATCTAACTGCCATGACAGTATATTTCTTGTAACCCAGGAATGACTTTTTCACTTACACATGTGCATACATTCCTTCCATGGTAGATTTCTTTAACAAAACTTTAAAAAAAATCATTAGTCAAGAGAGTCCCTCAGCCCTTCAGTTCAGGACAGCTGTTCACAGAGGCCATAGGATGAAGAGTTTTCCATCTTAAGGATTTTTTTCTCAGTTCTGTAGGTCAGACTGTTTTCCAGCTAGCCCTGGTTATTGTGGCTGGCCTCCAGGCTTATCCTGAGCTTAGGAGGACTCTGCTTTTATCACAGCCCCAGTGAGCAGTAATTGCTCAGCTGTCCCTGGCTCCTGTACCCCATCCTCCACCAGCCTTAAGGTGCTTGAGGACCCTGACATCCAGAGTTGCCGTCTGAGTGCTGGAGGGGAAAGTCCTCAAGTGCCGGAGCTTGGTGATGGGCAAAGCAGGCTGTGACAGCCAGGGCTGTGGCTCTGGGAAGCCACATCTGCTGTTAAGAGGACGAGGTGGATTTTGAAAGTAGCTTCTGCATTCCAAGTCTCCCTGTCATCCTCTTCTCCTCCAGAGGAAGCCCAGATGACCTTTGTTGCCATCTCTCTTGTAGGAAAGCAGGATGCATAGGGTCTCGCCTAGCATCGCTGCAGTTGCCTGTGTGCTGTGAGGAGCAGGGCCTCCACGCGACCAGGGAAGAGTTGGCTGGAGCTTTGCTTCTTCAGCCCAAAATGCATCAGGTGCAAATGAAGTGGCAAATTTGGCTGAGGCAGGAATAGTTCTTGTTTGGGTGGGGACAGAATTGGGACCAGTCTGATCCCAGCCTGCCCATGGGAAGCACTGGGCTCTTCTGCTCAGATTTGGGGAGCTACGTGGTAGAACTATCAGTATGCCCTGCATTTGCAGCTGCAGACCCTTGGGCATTTATGGTGGTGTCTGCATTGCTTCTGCTGTCAGTAGACTGCCTAAGCACAGACTTCAATTTTCTGAAGCAAAAATTTGAGGCATTCATATTCATATTGCCTGGAAAGGTAGCTCTGCATGAACCTCTTCTTCCTCGGAAGACTTCAAGACAACATCTTAGCAACGTGAAGGATCAAAGAGTTGGGACTCGAGCGTGAGCTGGTGTTGCCAGATAACACTACTGGCTTTACTACATTTCTGTTTACCCCATTCACCCAAATGCCAAAGGGAAGCTTATAGGTTTGCTTTTATGATATCTCTCAGGGAAAGTACCCTGTGATTTTGTGGTATGCTGTTGTTGGTAGTTATATGATGCAAGGTTGTTTTGGTCTCAAAGCCGATTAAAGCCTTTGGGCAGATTTGCTCCATTCTCATGCTGGCTTATTACAGTGAATGGAAGCAGGCTTGGAAGATTAATTTATAATAAATTTCCAGTGATGCTCACTGCATTGAAATCATTCAGAGACAAAGCGGTTATTTTTTCACAGTAATGAGGTAACTACAAGATTTTTTTAAGCTTTAGTCTATATGCCTGTACTTTTGCAGATGTTTTGTTTGGAGTCTGTTGAGGCTAAACTGATTAGAAAGGTAAGGATTGCAGCATAGTGCTGTTGCTAGGAAGGATGGACTTTCAGTAGAGCTTCTCTGGCTTTCATCTCTTCCCGTGAAAGGAGCACAAAGTCTGCTGCATCACAGCTGCTCTTCAAATGGCCTGACCCTTAGATAAACCCAAGCACAAGGAACTGGAGTTGTTCCTTCTCTCTCTTTTCCCCTCAAGTATGTTTGTCTTTCAAACAGCACCTACTTCTCACCAGCTTGAAAAACTTATCAGGCAGACTAAAATTCAGCCTCTCATCTTGTGGTTATCCTCCATTAGCCAGACGGCTGCGCGTTAGAGCAGTTCGGCCCCTTAGATGCATCCTGTTTGCTTAACCCCTCTCTTCAGCGTTTGGGGAACCCTTCGCTCCTGTGAGCACGTCTGCACCCGCTTCTCCAAGCTCACAATGTTACAAGCTGATCAGTTCCCTTATTTGCAGGATTTTTTTTTTATCTTGTGGATAACAAAATGAATGCAAACCTGCTGGTCTTTCCCTGTTTAATAGGTAAAGAACTTAAAACTAATGCTAGCAATCTCTGAGCATTTCTGTAGGTCACAGTGCTTACTCATTGTCCAGCATTACCCATTGTCCAGCATCGTGGGATCAGGTGAAAGAAGTCTGAGAGAGATAGTATGGCTATGGAAGGAGTGGCAGTCTACAATATTTTCATGCATATTTCCCCTCCCCGCGTACTGTGTCCCTTTCGAAGTGAGAAAGGAGTGGTAGGCTATGGGTGGAGGTAAAACTAAGCCTTTTCAATAGGAAAAAGTATATCTATCATGCATCATGGATGCATGCCATTCAAGTGCCACACCAGCCTCACTCACATGCTTGCTATGTTACAATCAGGGTGTATAATGTATTGCTGCATGATTTAGTTCACTTCAAAACTCATGTTTCTCTTTGTAGGCCACAGACAAAGAGCAGGAGCTAGCTGCTGCAAGTGCAAGACAGCTGGAATACCAGCAGTTGGAGGACGACAAGCTCTCTCAAAAATCATCATCTAGCAAGCTTTCCAAGTCTCCTCTAAAGATTGTGAAGAAACCGAAAAATATGCAGTGCAAGGTCATGCTCCTGGATGGATCTGAATATGCATGTGAAGTTGAGGTAAATTGCATTTCCCTTTTTTTCCTATTTTTATTTTGTCATCCGCTTTGGTGGAAAATACTGCACTTGTAGGCTAGGACTTCAAAAAATAGGAGATGAAAACTGGATTTCTCATGTTGTATATAGGCAAATGGCCTGATATTTCACAGATGCCAACACAAAAGAGATGCTTCAGCTATTTTGTCTGGAGGTTGAAAATGCTGCACAGATTTGAACTCCAGAGAGGAATATCTGAGCACATTCTGGAACAACTTCTGGTTAAGTTCATGTCAGCAAATGCCACAACAGAATTCAGAAAATAGCTATGGACAGTGAAAGCCATAAAATAAAGCAGGATTTTGATCCCTTAGGCCATCCGCTTTTGCTTAGTACTGTGTAGGGACTCTCACTGAGTCATTGTCTAAACAGTATTTTTTGACCAGCACAAGAGCAGGGGTGTAAGAGATGCCAGCAGATATAGGGGTAGGTGTCAAAAGCAAATAGCAGTAAGAGTGGGGAGCTTTATGTGCTTCTCCCCTATGTCTGTGAATCATAACTGTGTCTAAATATTACTGGCAGAAAGTTGCTAGCAGTCTTTAAAGAGATTTTAAAGAGATTTGCCTTCCATCCTGGGACTCTCCCAGGCAACTGGTTTTGGAAGGACAAGTCCCTGGCTGCTGTCAGATCCACGCTAAGGCGATGACTGTGCTTGAACTGCAGAGGAGATGAGGCTGTTGGGAGTGTGAACAAATTTAGCATCTTGCAGTGGGCCCATTTCTCCATTTGGCTGTTCCAGCCATGTCACTGAGATGTCACTTTGGGCAGATGCACAGTCTGCTCTAAGGCTGCTTCTCCTCAGGGACAAACTGGAGCTGCAGCCAGAGTGGCAGCTAGCAGAAAGGGTAGGGTGCGTGTTACAGGGCTTGGCCTGTAGAGCCAGAGGATAAAAAGTGGAATAAATGGCCTATTCCATAGACTGAAGTGAGCAACCTGTAGAAATATGAAGAGAGTTCAGCTTGGGGAAAGGTGATGGAGGAAGGAGTGAAAGAGGAAGATGCTGGAAAACACAAATACTGACAAAGGCAAAACTGAGCATCTCATCTCTGAGGATAAAAATTTCCTGACTGGGAACAAAAGGTGGTCATTACTCAGATTTCACTTAGCCTTTTCCCTGAAATTCTACTCTGTTGAAATGTCAAAATGCAAACATATAGAAGCCATCTGGTTTTATTACTTGTCAGATTTTTTTTTCTGCTTTGGAAGTTCTAAATAGATCTTTGATAAGATGTCCAGTATAAATCTGTGTATGATTTTTTTCTACTTATGCTGAAATTTTTTGAAATTGTATTGACTGTTGTCAGTAATCACTTTACTTGCACCTACGGAGATCAGACATCCTTGGCAGAGTTTAATACCATTGAAAATAGTGCTCCCAAAAGGATGGATGTTGGAATGACAAAACTGTAAGATTATGATGATGAGCAGATCATTGGGTGTGTTGAAGCAGAAGCCAGTAGTGAAAAGGCAAAAATAATTCATGCAGCAAATGCAGCTAGAAATGATGTATTCATTTAATTAAACACACCGTAAATGGACAGTGCAGACCTTGCATCCTTCCTAGGTGGTATTGTCAGCATAGTGTGTATATTGAAGATACAACTGCATGCACAGCCTGCTCTTTGGCCTGTGGGAATACTCAGGAGATGCCCTTAGAAGTCCACTTTCCTTGTGCATGATATTCATCTACAGCAAGAGGATGTTGTGTCCAGCCAAGAGAAATGATGTGTCTTCCACTTCTCCTGGGAGAGGAGTATATAAAAAGAGAGGTCGTAGGCTGTGAAGACTGGGGATCTTTTCTTGGGAGACCTCTCGGGAAATCATGTAAGAGGTTGAAGGAGATGTCCTTTACAATAATTCCAGATAGTAAGAATGTTCTGTGGCTGTTTCGAAGACACTCTGTGCCTGCAATATGAGAAATAATTTGTCACATATCAAAAAATGCTATCAGTATTTTAAGGATCCATGCAAACGATCTTACTATATCCCTTTATACTGAAAAAATAACATTTGTGTATTCAAAATCCTAACCCTTTATGGAGCCCAGTAAATTCCCACAAATGAATTCCTTAAAAAAGGGAAGGAAGGCGTATGGCAATCAAAGGTAAATCAAAGTATTTTTTGTGTGTGTTTTACCCTCTTAGCTGCATCTTTTAAAGGGAACATTGACCCAGCACAAAGAAGTTATTTCATATGGTTGGCTCCAGCCTTCCAGCTCTGTATGTCATGCCTTCCCCCACAGAGGGCTAAAAAGCAGTGAATATCCAGAGCGACCAGGATCAGGAGCTCTATACAGTGCTTTGCAAATTACAAATGCTTTTATATATGTTAAATATTAATACTGTATAAAGGAGCATATTGCTCTCAAGTAGAGCACAACGTGCAGCTTATCAATTATGTGTTCATCCAGTTAATGACCTGACAGCTGAAATTGCACATACTCACAGATTCAGATGCATCTTAGATGGGTTGCGTTAATGCATTATCCTCTTGCTGTGCTTCATTTCATAACCCTCCGCCCCTTCTCATTCCATATTTAATGCTGAGGAGTCTTCGCCTCCTTTTGCTCTTGCTTTCTGTCTTTCTTGTGTCCCATACTTCAGATCTGTGACAGGAGAAGCTTTTCCATACTGTATCAGATAGACTTGCAGAGCAAAATGCATTGGTGGTAACGTTGAGGTTAACAGAGGTTTATTTAATCTGATATCCTTTCAAGGAAAGGATGTTAACCAAATACCAGGTTAAAAACTTTTTCCTGAGAACCCACAGTATTATTGCCTGTATGCTGTATGTATTCCTGCCCAGAAAGTAAGACTTTATGCAGCAAGACTTTACAGTTCACAAACAGTTCGAAAAGGTACCACAGCCATTCCTCTATTCTCCTACTGGAACATAAGACAGGAGTGTTACCATCCAGATCTCCATCACAGTGCTTGGCCATGAATCTACTGAGGGTAGCAAAAGGCTTATTTATGAGAAACATCTCCTTTTAGTGAAGAGACACCTGTGTAATGATGTTTGACCTGTCTCAGGACAGTGGCTGGCACTGCCAGCCAACATTGAGATGCCAACATTGTCACATATAATGCGCCGAAGAAGAACGATCTCGGAGTCGCTCTAAGTTTCTTCCAGGTCATTAAGAAATTTGAGCTCCCTAATGCTGATTACAAATCATAGACTTCAACATGGCCTGCTCAGATCGATGCTTAGCAGTGATTTTTCTCTGTGTTTCCACCCATGCTGGAAGCAGTTCTCCCATAAGAGTTTCTTGGGGCTCTGTCCACAAGCACCAGAGTCAGAAATATTCTTTCTTGGAGGCAGCCAAGTAAGCAGTGAAGGTCAAAATTGCTCTGGCAAAGAGGTACCTGCAGATTGCTAGATAAACTTCTGCATTAAGCAAGCTAGACCTATACTTTACATTTGACATTTAAAAGAAAAAAAAAAGAAAGATCCAGATTAATTTCATATAACTTAAAAATAAAAAGAGAGAGAGAAAGAAAAGGGCAACAATATGGAATCAGCGATCAGGCTTTCTTAAGACAGGAGTAAATAAGCAGAAATCATTTATTTCTGAGTTCCTTGCACTTTAAATTAGGTGTTTTCAAGAGCTGTAGTACAGTTTCATGCTATTTCTAGGATTTATTTTCCCTCCTCTTCCCTCTCTGCCCCATTTTCGTTTTAATCTAGACCACTGCATTTTAATTAAAAGCTTCAAGTGTATCCAGCTGTCATCCTCTCCCTTGCATGTTGCCTAAGTTGAAGTGCCTTCCTAAGGTGGTTGGAATGTGCCTTTAGAGTTTGTGCTCCAAGCATATACATGTTATTAATCACAGAGTGAGATCAGAAAACTGCAGATACTGTGCCTAGATAGATGGTAAAATAATTAGATTTAATTTTCAAAGGCTCAGCTATCTAGGCCCATTGGTAATTTATACGTTTTCTTCCTTCCCTTCCCCTCAGACTTTCTTATCGCACAGGACAGCAGTAAATGAAAACAAATGTTTCCATGGGAACGTTTTTGTGTTATCTCTACAACCCTAAATCAAACAGATTGAGTTACTATATAATTCAGCTACTCTGCACAACATTTAGAAGTCCGGTGTCTCAGAAAGCACTAGCAGTGTCCCCTCCTTTTGGTGGGTGAAGGGCAGTTGGAGGGAATTGTTTAATTTTTGTCGTCGTCGTTATTATTTTTCTATTTAATCCCATTTTCTCAGACAAGCTTCTGCTTTTGAAATAGGCAGCTGAGAGACTGTTTTCTGAATGGTGGTGTCTCTGCATCCTCAGGTGGCTTCAGATTATTAGACTGAGGCTGAAATGGAACTGAGATGTCTTTATTTCCATTCATTTCATAGTAGCATTGTAAAATGGATGGAATAAGCTGGAATAGAGAGGCTACTTTCTGCCTTCCAGAAATGCTGAAAATCCTTTCTGGAGACAAAACTGCATGAAGTGTATGGAGCCTCATATATCATGGAGCACTCGGTTTCACATAAACCTATCCTTTTCCTACAGAAAAGTGAGAGTATGCGGATGCCTCCGTGAAGTGTTAACTATTAAAGACTGTCCTGGGACAGGCTGGTGAGCTTATTTTTGCTCTGCCACCATAGCCAGAAATGTTACATGTGTTTCTTTTCCTGGTTTTCCGTATCTAGCTTGTAATGCCACTTTCTGGAGGAAAAAAATCCTCTGTGTGGGAGCAACTGCCCCGCTGTCCCCCCTTCCCATGGGCAGGCCCTTCCTGGGAGCCATGGACACGTGCTCTGCTTTTGCCTGGACACTTTAATTACATTGAATTTCTCGTCCGTCCTGAGGTATACCGTAGGATCAGGAAAGAAACCGCTGTAATAACATGCCCTCTGCTTTCTAAAGGATAGCGTTTCAGTTACCCCCTGCATGTTCTAATTGGTTGATGAATTCCAAGCAGTCTCTTGCAAATGGTACTGCATGTGAAACTTATTACT